TTAATAACTACGTCATTAAATTTTATATTTTCCTGAATACTGGAGAAACCCGTTGGTAATACTTGTTTTATACTCTTCGCAATGTATCAATAGTCCCAGAGGTGTTCATTTCCTTCCTATGTGAATTTGATGTTCTTGGCCTCTTTGATTTTACAAGCACAAATTCACTCATCACACCAGGATGTATTCTCTATTTGGGTAAATGTCAATTCTATACTGAAAAGGAATGACCAGTGACATCCAGTCTTAAGTATTTTCGGGACATTTTAAATTCTGGAATGTTATTACTTACCTTTAAGCAAGTCTTATAACTTGCAGTCACATTGTAGAAACCATTTATAACTGCTTCGTAGCGTGACAAATATCACACGATGCTTTCACTTTTGCGTTATATTCTTCATTAACAGTGAAATATTTTTCGTCTGGACTCGCACATTTTGAAGATATATGTTTCCACACTCGAAATAAGTTCGTTTCCGAACGCTTCTTTATAGCACAGAACACGCTTCGGGCAATTCTAAGGCATTTTCGAGCACAAAAAGGGTAAAGTGCACACATATATAGTCCCCAACCCTAATTCCACCCCTCCCGTTCTCCCCTTAAATCCTATTGCTTGGTAGCAACCATGTGAACCTGCTGTTTACACTTCATTTGACTACTGACAGCAGAGGAGGATGGGCCTGGGAAGAAACCACAGAGGACTTTGTGTTTAAGTGAAAATTATTCATTTTTCAAAAATCTTGAACTGTGATTGTAATATGAAACGCAAGCCTTTTAGCCATTATGTGTCGAAGCGTTAGACGGTCTAGTGTATTTTTGGGTCATCAACATTTAAAAATAATTATTCATCAAAATGAATTTAACTCACCTAGGTGTTATATATGAATCAAATTCGTTATTTTTTTTAATGGTTGCACAGTTTTCGCAACGTCTCTTTAGCCCTTTTTGGCAGTCAGTCGATGCCTTTTATCCCTTCGGCCAGGGGCTCGACGCACTTTGTAACAAATGTTCCCGATGGTCACCCATGCGGGAATCCGCGGTGTCTCGAATTGCTTAACTTCCGTGCCTTCATGGAGCATAGTTAGGTGGGTTGAAGGTTAAATAATTCTGCTAACGACGCCGGCAAAGTGTGAATTGTGAAGCCTATATATTCGTATAATCAATATCATTGGTGTCCAATTGTATTCATTGTAATTAAGAGTGGATTGTGGATTTACCTCGTAAGTAAAATAATCGCAAAAATTGTCCTGCAATGAATATAAGTATAATATCGAGTAAAATGGTTCAGATAATTTGAATTGTTTGTCCTTCGAGAAGAAATCGAATCAGATAGAGAAGAGCGTTATAATGCAAGGAACAAGAACAGTTATTATAAAAAAATAACTGAGTATGGCAATGAAAGAAGATAGTTTTACTACTAGGGGAAATAATCTACACTTCTCGTATTTTGGGTAAATTGCAACTTCTGAAATACAACACAGATGAATACGACCAATTCTCAAGTATTTGAAACACCGAGGCGGGTTGGACACACTAGCGGACGGCGGTTATAGAAACCGGAAAAAATATGTTCAGGCAAAGTACGATGGTCAAAAGCCAAAGAGAGTCAAGACGGATTTCCCGTCAACTTCAGATCATGATCATGAAATTATGCCCTCAAATTGTTATCAAGAACAGTTGAGAAGTCATCTCGTAGTCTCAACTTACAAGAAATTTAGAACGGTGTGCAATGAGACACTTATTTGAAGGCCGGCTAATACGTTTTTCGTTATACTCTACTGCTGCCATTGACTTAACGTCACTAAAGGAACGAAACGGCACTCGTAGGGGACAGGCTGTTATAGACATTAACATCATTAGGCCGATAGACACCAAATATCGGGGAAGAGTTTGTAAACCGAGGCGATAGCCGAGTTTTATAATCAACCAAGTCTGTTATTTGTGTTGTCGGCCGTGTGTCGTTCAAAACTTTGCGTAATACCATCTTCTTATAAGAAAAAAAATATAAATAAGAAATAACTTTGCTTTTATTAATAAGTAGTGCAATGCCATCATTTATTTCAACATGATTCAATTCTTCGATGTATCAGACGTGGCAAGTTTTATTTTGATTAGCTTGTCGCTCGAGACGCAGCACTTTTGTTTCTACACACATGTAAACAGATGTTCCGCATTTTAAAATGTAGGATACTCCAGGCGATGTTTTAGAAATTGCAAGTGGTGCAACTTTCGGCTGGTTACTCGCGAAAACGAAGATAAGGTATAAGAAAGAATACAAGATTCTCAACATTGGTCTCAATGAAAAGAATATTGACAAAGTAAATGAAACAGTTATGCTGGCTGGCATTTGCCAAACAAAGATCTGAGACGTACTCTCCCACATCTTTATGGATAAAATTTTCAATGTTAAAACTATGTGTACTAGTAAACGAAAATGTTGACATATCAAGGGCAATATTTCAAATTTTTACGTTTCAGTTAAGAAATTTTATTTACTAAGTGTCATCTGAATTCATTTTACATATTCTGAAAACAATGGTATTCGGAAACTGTCTTCTTTCGATGAAAGAACTTTGAGAGAAACATTTCCCTGTTCACATTATAGGTTTATCCTTTCACGATATGTTATGTTTTTTTTCTTATGGCAAAGGACGATATAGTGAGTCACAATATTTTCCCACATTTTTCAACTTTTCTGCAGGTAGTTGTGTCTTTCACTAAGTGGGCTTCCGAGGCTCGATAGTCTCTTTTCTCGTAACGGTTATTTTAGCGTATATGAAAGTCATTTGTGTGAAATTTATAAGCACACCTTACAGACTTATTCTTGACAGAGATTTGCCAGAGTTATGGACTTGGTTTGCACAAGATACACATCACGATCACATGAATAAAGAATAAAGGCATTTTGATGCTGTGATTCAGGGAACGGATTTGCAATACATGAAACAAATATACGGGGGGGGGGATACGCCAGTTGCAAAATATTTGGCACCAAAAACAATAAATAAATTGGAACAGCATTATTCAATGGAAGTTTTAACACAAAAACATAAATTTTTACACGTCTGCGGACCTGGTTGTATTTCTAATGGATGCGAAAATAAGATTTCTTGGAACATTGCGTGTTAACCAGCAGGGAAAAACGTCTCAACTGTGAAAATATAATGGTAAAGTAGAGTATCATATTCTAGTATATTTTAATCCCAATGATATCTTACAGTTGTATCATATAAATCATTCCAAAAAAGAAGAAAATTATTTATCTTCCTAGCATAATGCATCTGGACCAAAAAATATGACAAAGAAGAAATCTTCAATTATTCTTGATTGCAGCAACACAAAGGTTGGAGTTGATCTCGTGGATCAAATGTTCGATGACTACACATTGCGAAGGTAAACTCGTCTATGGCGAATGAATTGTTTTTTTAATAACATGATTGAGGTTGCTGCTTTGAATGTATTCATAATATTCACAAAAAGCTTCGAGGTTATCAGTGTTATGCCAGTGGAAAAGGTTTTTGAAGAAACTAGTAAAATAATTATGTGGGGCTAACATGAAAAGGGTGAGAAACCCTAAGGTCCACAATTCTACTCGCTCTTCAAACCTTCGGGAAACAGAGGAATACAATGCAACTGGAAAGCAAAAACTGCTTCCAAATGCCCGTGCTCGCTTAAAGCAAAGGAAATCTCGTTTTCATTATGAAAGTAACATTAAAGCAAATAATTGTCACTCCTTTGATTTCTGAAGTTCAGAATATGTATCTAGCAACGTTCTCAATTTTGGAGACTCTTACGTCGCCTCAATTATTAGCAATGTTAAATGAAAATAATGTTAAGTTAGAAACGCGTTTCGGTGGTGTAATGCGAGGGTGCCATTTAGAACTCTTCTGCAGACGGTAGCGCGGACGCGCGGCTGTGGCGGAAGTGCACCACCAACCGCCACAACAGTGCCGCTCGCGTGAATACCTCCATCTAAACCAATGTTTTACTAGCAGAAGCGACACTCGGAATCGCTGGTGAGTGGCCCTTATGTTCGCAACGCTATCGCACGTACCCCTTCAAAACGCCACGCGTGCGGCGCCGTCATGGCCATTCCTCTAACCTGTGAAGCAGCCCACCTCGCGCGCACGACGCTCCAACTTTACGGCGCTCGCAGAAACGCTCCAACGAGAACGAAATTGTGCGCAAAAAATGCTACAGTTGATATTTAAAAAACATTTTGATATAACAGTGTATCATCAGCCGATGAAAAGGCAATTTACTACTGGACGGCGACCATTAAATCGAAGATACAATGCACAACAAAAAACAAAAAATTTTGAGATTCTTTTTGCACTTATGGTGTCGATAAGAGGTGGTGTCGATATTTCTCTACGCAAAGCTTTGTCTACTAGTTATGCTTTTAAAATGTTTGCCAAGCATTGTAGCTTATACATTAACTGCTTTAGTGTCATAAGTGAGTGTTGCTTGTAAGCTGTCATAGTAATAATGTGTGTTATGTTTCCATTGCATCTTAATCTTCTTGTAATTTTTTATTCAAGCTGTCTCGTTGAAACAGTTTTGTCTAAGCTAAAGATTATTTTGTCACAGGAAAATTTAATTCGCACGTTTCTCAAAATAGCCATTTGATCTTTGTGGCATTGCCCTTCACTATCTAGGCTACTGGCCACCTCGAGATTCTGAAAAAGCATCACACCTTTGGGTTGGATTTTTTGCTCCAAAAGCACGAGGTAACACGGGCCACTTCTGATGAATCCACAAACACAAAAGAAACATTTAACATGTTCAAAAAAGTTTTAAACGACAATTGAACAATATCGGACGTAATATGGTAAGGAAGTATTAAATGGAAAGCTGAAAAAGTAAAAGCTTCAGAACTCACTGGGGTATTAACTTGCTACCAACTCTAGGCAGTTAAATGGTCAATGTCATTTTCCAAAATGTACGTAAAGAATTGGAAAAATATATAATTCTAAACAAATTAGCACTATTTACATTACCCGCGTATAAACAAATCTCCACTTCATTGTGCGGAAATCCAAGGCATGGACATCTTGCGAAAATCGATCTATATATTCTTCAAATCCTCCAAATATGTACATACAGTGATCAATAATACAAGCTGAATGCCCATCTCGAGCCCCAGGGATAGGTCCTGTTACTTCGGGGCAAGTCCACTTCAAAGTAACTATAACAAAAAAACATCATGAATAAAAAGTATACAAGCATTTCGTTACGATCTGTTTAGCAACGCTTTTAGTTTCCTGTATACGAAGTATAAGTTACAAAATTCTCCAAGAAAAAACCTGCAGTTTATCAGAGAAAAACGTTTTGCGGGGTCCCTGGTACCGACAGAGTGGACTTCTCTTGCTCCTACTCGTAGTAACGAATGATGGCATAATTGAAGTCATCTTCGTCAACTTAAGTTGACGAAAATGACTTCAATTATTTTATATTTTAATTGCCAACAAAACATCAGCATTCCCTTAATCCTACTCGCAGTACAGTGAAACATATCCGAAGAGGTTAGTTATCGACCTTCAGAGATAAGAATAAATACAGAGAAATCTGATAACGCATCGACACATTTTAACAACTACAAAAAACATTGTAGAGTTGTTTATTTCGCAAGTTAAACTTTCTTTAGTTGCACAATTTATGAATTGCCGAAAAGCTTATGAGGTTTGTTAACGTAATTAAACAATGAAATAACGGATGTAATCTTCATTAACCGATTTATTCAGAGAGCAGGCTTTGCCGTCATCAGTCTACAAATAATATAAATAAAATAAGAAGATAATACAAATAATAAACGTATAGAAATTAATATAAGAACAAAGAGGGACAGAGTTAATACAAGTAATGAAATAACAATAGATTCATTTAAAAAAATAATTAAAAACCAAAATCAAATGAATAACAAAAAGTGAAACAGAATTAGGTGAGCCGCTAACTTGCATCTGGCTTTGTGGTAAAAGTTGGGAGCCAGAACGCAGAGGGAATTTGAAACGGAGCTTAATTAGGTTTCTGGGATTGCGGGAGAGGGATCGGGGGTCTGTAGTCTTCTTACAAATGTTTCAGGAGGCAGTTTACGGCGGAGATGTGCGTAACATTGTTAACAGAGGGGTCACATGAAAATTGGTTTATTCGTCGAGGACAGCTTGGATCGAAAATTGTGAAAGATTTCTAAAGCGCTTCTTTCCCAGAATTTGTTCCATTTCAAGACTTTTTGTCTGAGAGTGACACGTGTGGCCTGTATTTATAAAAAGTGAAGCAAAGCGTTTCCCTTTTTGTAACTTCATTTGATATTGGTTTTTAATTATTTTAAATGTATCTATTGTTATTTCATTATTTGAATTGATTCTGATGCATTTTGTTATCTTAATATCAATATGTTTATTAATTGAATTATTTTATTTATAGTTGTAGACTGAAAAAGACGGCGAAGCGGTCAAAACTGACGAAGATGACTTCAATTATTTCACCAACAAAAGAGTTATGACACTTCCTAAAGGTGAGCGCCATGTTTTTATAACAATAATACGAGTTCTACCGCATTTAAGAAAGTCAGCAAATTGTGCGCCTGAAATTAGTTTCCCGTCTTCTAGGCTCATTTATCTCCTCTCCACTTCTGTCGAACGCCCATGACTTGTCAATTATTCACTTACTCGAAAAACTCACTTCCTCGCGGAACCCAACTCTCAAGTAAATTACCCCTCAAAATGCAATTCACATGTGAGCAGGGTGTCTGAAGGAGATCGTGAATAATGTGGCATGTTTTGGCAGCCGGGGTGTCTCTGTCTCCCACAGAGGCAGAGAAGGATGGGGAGGGCACGCTAACCTGGGAAAGATTTTTTCACTTTTCGCAGTGGCGGCCAGTACGGTAATGCCCGTGTGCTATGGCACAAAAAAAAACTTGTACATTTTTCCAAACGAGGGTATAAAATGATGTCTTTTTAAAATATTATTTTCAATAGTAATTCATTTGAACGAGCGCTTAGACATTCCATGCTCTATAACTTTTCAAACGCACGTGCTGGCATCGTTTTGGCCCATTTACACCGAATAAAGAAGGTTGTATGAGCCTCTTATGAATGCAACGGTGCCAAAATTGAACTGGCACAGTAGTTCACGTTCTGTTCCATAGAGTGCACTAACTTCATCCGGCAGACTATCTCTCGCTCAGGATGACCCTGATGCTCCGGTATTTCGTCCGTCCGTCCTAGTGTTTTGTTCGGGAGAAGAGGGCACGCCGTAGGCTTAACACTTCCTCTCTTCTTCCAGTACCCTTCTTCAGGGAACTCAGGAAGCTGTGACCTCTTGAGATAACTGTGGGCGCTCAGGCTTCCAGGCAGAGTATTTTTTATTTGTTGTTATTACTTTTTAGTTTGTTTTCAGTTGAATCTTCACTGTAAAGTTACATTTTGTTCTCCAGGAATTTTATTTTAGAGATAACTCAACCAGTTTTAAATCATATCATCGATGTTTAAAACCACAGATGGTTTTTGATCGATGTTTTATTAACATCATGTCGCATCACTCTCGCACCAATAGAATTCCCTACCGGTAGCCACTGCTTTCTCGTCTTATTTACACAAAGAAAAAATACTGCAGTGCCGCGACAAAAATTGGTGATTTTTCGTCAGAAAAACTTGTACTGCAGGGGCCTGGTATCGCAAAGTGCTTGTAGTAAATACTTCCTCTACCATGTTTTAGAGACCGAATTCACATTTTATTTATTTATAATTTATTTACGTCAAAACAGTAAAAACAATTGCGTGTGACATGCTATGGGGGAGAAGATAATTTGAAGTTACATTTATGTCCAGAAGCAAAACAATGGGCCATATCAACATTTGCTCAAGGATCAGGGAAACTGGACAAAACCTGATGGAGGTCATTGACGCAGAAACTGAAGTAAAATACTTGTTACAGGTTCGTTAGAATTATACAATTCAAATGATAAATACATTAAATATTGTTAAAATTAATATTACTTTCCTTTTCGATGCATGGAATACTCTCTAATTGTATAGAAACAGTTGTTCAGCAGAAAATATTTTACTTAAGACAAACTTTTGTATAGAATTTAATCGTTTAATGTCATTTGGCAAGCTGTTGTAAAATAATGTACACGTATTGTTTGTGATTTTTTTGTAGTGAGTTGTTGATAGTGTTACCTGATGAATACTATTACTACGTCGAGTATTGCAGTTATGGACATCGGCGTTTGCTAAAAATATATGCCCGCCCTAAGTCAGACATCAAGAATGTTTTCTCCAAAACTCATATTCCCTAATCGATTTATACGAACTCGAGAACTCGTAAGTTAGAAGCAGACATTTCAATTTTTTGGGGAGGGAGTTACTTTACATAAAGCCTCAACATTTTCAAACTTTTCTCAAAAATGGCTCCAATTTTTTCTTTGACGTTTTTCCCGGATAGCGAAAATGTATTGATTACAAATATAATACAAATAATAATAATCTCATATGAGATGTAGAAAAGGCTTTCTTGAAATTGATAGGCCCTTCCTTACGAAAAATCTAAAAATCCTTGTGACATTTTGTACTGTTAATGAGAAAAATATGTGCAGAGGTAGGCAATATTTTAAATTTTTCTATTCCCCATTTGTGCAGATGGTGGCAATGTGGGGATGTTAAAGAAACGTATGTTTTTGTAACCAAACATTGCAACCTTTTAGAATTTCAAGTTGTGCCCGAACAAACTGGAGGTTGCAGCGCCATCGAATGATAAAAAAGTAATTTCTAAAATTCAGAACACGCTAATATAATAAAATGTAAACAATACATATAAATTAATTAAAACTAAGATTAATAAAAATCTGTATTTAAATATTACTGACATTTTTATGCGTAGTGTCCGCATCAAGTTATTCTCCTTCCGCGCACATAGTTCTTTGATTTCCAGGGTTGCACAAGGATTATTGTTTGGACAGGTTTGATACATTTCTTTTTATTTCGAAAACATCACTACCCTGGTATATATCGCAATATTGAAACATCATCTACACACATTCGTATTCACAAGAACGCTCGCAAACTGCTGTCAGATTGGCTTCCGCGAGATACAAAGGGACTTTCATCCAGAACGACAAACTTTACACAAAGAACTCATCAAATGTACGTTTTGACTCAACAAACCTAATATCAAATGAAAACTGATTATCTAAAGACCATAAACAATGCACTGAATGCCATCAATAACTGACTGAACTTGTTTACTTTCAATAACACGTGAAATTCATAAAAAGAAGTTGAAGCTAGTCAGACGAAGACAAAATCTCCTCGGACTTCCTCGGTCGCCGCGCGGCGCTCGACGACAAGACCCCCACCCATTTGCGTGCGTCACCAAAAGCAGATGGTTCATCCGCGTAAAAGCTAAGGGCCAAAGAGTAAATGCAGTAAACCCACTAATAGAGCCAATAGTGCGTGGTGCAATACCTGGAGTCGCCAGATGCCGGACAGAACGCTAGTTGGACGTTCTTTGCTTTCAAAGTGACTTCATATACATCGATACTGGCGCAATAACTTGAATATTGAATGTCATTAAAAGGAAAATGTATATTTCTAAGATATAAGACCTTTTTCAATTATCTGGGGTTTGTGCAACGTAAGCACAAGCCGCCACTAGTGTTGTATTGTAAACATTAACCTTTCAGCGACAATTTTAAGTCTCTTTCCCTCACGCTCCACTTCTACTCACCAGCTGCCTATAGGTTTGTTAGAAATCCCACTCCGGTAGGAATTAGGAACGTTTGATGTCTTGGCCAAGCAATTTATCTATGGCCGTACAACTTTGTGCCAAAATTCCAGATGCCCACATGGAAACTGTTTCCACACCCTGGGTGGAGAGAGAGCATGTGTTTCTGGATACGTATCACATGCTTAAATATACAAAATATCTCTTGGGTGACCAGACATTACTGTACGAGAGAGCCAGTAAGCCCATAAAGGGGGAATTCATTATGAAATTAAATGATATCCAGTAGCAGGAGAGGCTGACACTTAAGTAATAAATCGAGGAACAAACACATTAGTTATGTGAAAGAGAAAATGAAAATTTCACTTGCCACTCATGGTTTAAGTTCCACTGTAGGTCCTGTACCCCATTTTTGGACAAAGAATTAATACTTGAATAGTTTAAGGAAACAGATGCTACAGCAGA